AACAGCATTATTCAGTTTGAAACTTGTGCTCAATGGAGCCTGCAAAACTGGAAATTAGTTAGACCAGTGACTACTTTATTTCACCTATGCGTGGAAGTGGTTAATGGTTTCTTACCCAGGAAACACTTTTGTGTTTTCTGCTCCAGTCTATTAAGGCTCAGAGCAGGCACTAGAGATGTGTTTGCTTTCACTTTTAAAGAAAGACTGGCAAAAGTTGCGGTGCCTTGTTTGGGTAGAAGGATACCATGGAAAAGGAAAGAATTTAAGGAATTAAGAAAACTTTGGGAGATAGCAGAGTATCTGAGTTTGGTGCAAACTGTGGTATTTTTTGAATTTGTTGAAATCAAAATGTAATTTACTCACTGGAAGCCTCTTACTTTGATGAACAGGATAGTTGCTCTAAAAAACACTGAAGATCTTCTCCCTCCTTTTGCTTGATTTCTTTTGAGAGTTTTTTCCATATAGAACTGTAATGAACTGGTGATAATTTTTCTCCTCTGAAGCATGTTGCAAAAATCATCTGTTACCCTTGGACAGTTCCAGGCTGTAAGTGAAGAAAAGAATTTCACTGTGGAGAGAGGGAATACTTCCAGGAGCTTGGAGGATTTCTGGATTTCTTTTGATATGGTTTTTGTATCTTAACTTTGACTTTCCTTTTGGAAGCAATCAAGATTGTTTCATGAGCAGTATTGGAGGGCCTTCAGATAGTTGTGAGTAGAGACCACTCCTAGTTCTCACTGTTGTTTTCATTAGCTGAGTAGGAGCCACAACTACCTACTAAACATTTCAAGAATTGCCAATTAAAGGAGGGAGGGTTTTAAAATCTGCACTCTACTGCTTAATATTCTGTAGTATGTGTTGAAATGGAAAGCTCGTGTATCTTACTTTGGATTTTAATTACTCTTTTGGGCCATATCTGATAAAATAAAGTTACACCCTTTCTTCTCAGTGTTCACCAAACTGCTCTTGCTGAATACTGGTTGTTACAAGCATAAAGTAGTGAAGAAAATGCAAAGCTCAGTATGCCGTGGCGCCTGTAGGGGCAAGTGTGGAAATCGGCTGGAGTCTTGTGGTTTGTGTTGCTGTGGCATTGGGGGTGGGAATGGCAGGTGAGGCGTAGGCCACCTGCTCTTGTTCTTCTGCCTGATAACCAGAAATGTTTTGTGCTAACCAAGCACACTTCCTATCAAGATGTATTCTGCAAATATGCCCACAAAGAATGGAAGATTTGACTGCAGTCCCACCCACAGCACTTAGCACAGTGACAGTGAATAAGATATAAAAGTACCCCACTTCTGCATCCAGCAGGGGATGAGAATTTGAGTGAAATTGCAGAGACAGACAGGTTTGTCCTCCCCCGCCAGTAGGGACAGTCTTTGGTAAGCCTTGAGTCTTCAGTTGTGCCAAGTGTTGACCTGGAACATAAAGCTTGTGATTGCAATGGCACTGTTGGTGCTGTATGTAGCTACTCTGCATTCTCACCCTCAGTCCAGAGGAACGTTTTACTTTGCATTTAGTAAATCATGCTATTCCAGAATCTGACTGGCTCTTCTAAATGCAGCTAGACCTACAGTTCATAGGCTGTTTGTGCATGTGGAGTCAGACCTGTAGTTACATTTTGCAATGCTGGTCAACAGCAGTTGACAAACCACCACAGCCTGGTGCCTACCTGAATGTGGGCAGTGAGTTCTCACCTTCTTCTGCTTCTTGGAGATATGTGTGTTTATGAAGCATGTTTTCTACACACACTTATCCAAAAGTCTGCTCCAGATGTAGATAAAGTCGGTAAGATGTCTTGATACCTTCTCTGAGACTTGATAGTGCTTGTCATAAATGGTGAAATGGAGCTTTTCTTGCCTCAGCTGTTGTGTTCGGGTGTCACACCACAGTGAGGCAGGGCGGGTGTAGCTGTGCCATAGGGGGTTCCTGGGAGGGATGTGGTGCTCTGCTGGTCCCTGCCCTGAGAGCACGGGCTGGCTCTCGCTGTTGTGCTCCAGCTGCACCTCGCACACAGGGACAGAGGGGTCACTGCTGTCTGTGCGGGCAGGCAGCACCCCCTGAGCCTGTGTCTCAGGAAAGTCAGTTAAAACAACATTTCACACCAATCCTGGAGCTCTAATCTTAGGGGATTATTTTACATTTGGCTATGAATCTGGGACTGTCAGGGAGTAAATATGTTCCTGTAAGTCATCAGATGCTCGTAATTGACAGTGGGACTTCAGTTATTATCACATCTCTTCAAGAAGTAATTAAGAGAAATCAATAATTAAAATAATTCTAATCAATAGAGCAACCAGACTGATTAATTTGGTTAAAAATCAGAATTTCACTTGGAAATTGGAAACCACATGTTCTAATTGTACCTAGAGCTAAAAAATATAGTTTTATGCCAAGGTATGAGAGAATTCAGATGTTTTTTCCCCAACACTGTCACTTGATAGATGCTTATTTTAAATTAAATTACATGAATGATTTATTATGTTAAATTTCTGTAGTTTAACACCTGTGCAGTGTGATTGGCTCAGGGAAAACCCAGTTAGGTTATAGTATGTATTGAAGCAAGATGTGTGGGGAAGATCAGGATTCAAATTAACAGAATAATCTGTTTCTGTAATTTACATGAGGAATAACAATTGTCTGCTTTTCTCTGATGTTGGACTAATGGTAAACATTAGATACTAATTCATCATAAGGCAAATAAATAATAAAGCTAAGTCTCTGATAGGAGCTGATGCACAGAGATGTTTATGATCAGTATACAGTATGGCTCAGCTTCTGTTTTCTGCAGAGTAACAAGGCAAACCTACCATGGGGATAGGAAAATCAGTAAAATTGTGTGTTGGAGTGTCTTGGGTTTTCATCTCCCACTTTGCATTCCTGACGTTGGGGTGTTGTTATCTGAATATGCATTTTGGAACATGATTTTGGACATTCAAACCTAATTGAAAGTAATTACAGTAGACCATGTCCACAGACCTTCAGGGAGAAGTCCCAGTGAATAAAATTAATAACACTGTGGGTGTGGGTGAAGAGAAATTAAGAATTTATTTTTGTCACTCTTCATTTACAGAGGAGTTCCTAGGTTTTAAGTGTCTGTGTTTTATCTACAATATAAGGAAATGGTGATGGCTGGAAGAGCATTCTCTCACTCTGCCCCTACCTCTGACCTGCAGAAATAGGTTTTGCTTGCCAATGAGAAAGCTACAATGGAACATGCCTAGCTGCAGAAAATGCTAACCTCGTTTTGGCACAATGAGCTCAAACTTGATTAAATTTCTTTTATTAAATCACAGCTGAGTAAGTAGCCACAGAGTAATGACTGGAATATGTCCTCTATCTGGAAGGACTCTGTTGAGCATGTAGCACAGCTCAGTATATGAGCTGATTCATTTGTATTACTGCAGTCATGCTGAAATTCACACTGATGCATGGTTCATGTCATACTTTGTAGTTCTGTACACACTTTTTATTTTTAAATTAAGTAATATGGCTTTTATAATAGAACTTTGATTTTTCAAATGTACCTTTTAAATGGTAGGCAAGCTGAACAGCAGGTCTGCTGATCAGAAGTGACAGTGTGTTTGCAAGGAATTTCTTGTTTTGCTTGATATATTCAGTCAAAGATTTAGATGCATGTGACTTTCCTACATAGATTCCTTTTCATGTTGATAATCTTCATAACTATTATAATCATCACCTTCAGTAACCTCTTGCAGAACCCAGAGGTGTAGGTTTAGTCGTCTCTGCTCTATTCTTTAGGCTAAAAAAGTAGTGAATAAGTATAAAGGAGTTGTGCCACTTTTTAATGGATCTTTGGTTGCTACTTGAAAATGCATTTCAGGATTTACTGTAGTGTTGTACTTGAACTGATCTAATCCTTTGTGAGCACTTACTCATGGTCTGTGCTTCTCTTGGTCTCTGGTGTTGGACTTACAGTGAAGTACCTAAGAAAATTCAAGTTTTTGTATTTGAAGAGCTTTGAAGATTAGTGACAGGATTCCTGATAACAGTTCTTTGAAATCTGGAAGGTTTTAAATAAGTCTGTTTTGAAATTCTTTGTTTACCCTGGAAAATAACGTAGGCAATATTTTGGGCGAGGGGGAGGGGTATGGGCATTGGGAAGAATCGAAGGTTGCCTGTTTCCTGTGAGATCACATTGGATAGAAGCCTTCCATTTTTTAAGAAGGCTGAGCAATTTTATTTTTCATCTGTTGGCCTCAGCGGTGTCTAAGATGCTGTGGAATGTTTGCAGCATTTTATGGCAGGTGGCACATCTTCTCTGTATTCTCTTGGCTATGCTGTTTATTCCCCCAGTGCTTCAGGATGTCCTTTCCTGCCATCAGCATCATGGTGTGCTGTAAAACCTCATTCAGCTAGAGAGAGGGACATAGTCTCACTATCCTATAGAAGGAACAGAGTTCATTTTTTGACCCAGCACTTCCACTGTCAGTACTATGAAGGTGGAAGAATTTAAACAAATTAGGTATTTAAATTTGAAAAGCTTTTAGTTTTGTTCACAATGTTGAAACAGAAAGTTTTTAATTTCTGTAAGTGAAGTTCAGTACATAATTTCTACCCCCACGAAGATTTGAGTGAGAAAGTAGAAGTAATAAAAATTTCTTTATGTTAGGAAATAAGAACCTCTGCTTTATTAAAGTTATGGTTGTTAATGTTAAAAAAAGTCATCTCTTTCCCTGGGCAATAACAGAACTGAGGATTCCTATTCTGCCATAAGGAATATCTCAGAAACAGATGCTTTGCAGAAGAATTACTCTTCAGAGATTACAGGTAAATGTACCATTGCCAAAATTAGAAAATTCAGTTACTGATGGTCTTTCTAAAATCATAGTAGTTTACAACTCTTGTGATGACTGCTATGTTTCTGAAAAAATGTTTGAAAAAGATGACAGATGTACATACATAGAAAAGCAGAAAACCTTCTAAACCAAACCTCACCCACATGGTATGTCCTGCACATGGTCCAAAGGCAAATACTTTACCTGAAGGTTTCAGCATTCAGGGGACTTGCCTTCATGAAGTGGATAAATTATGGATTGTGGGAGAATTTAGTCCTGTAGAAGTAGTGAAAATTTGGTTGTTTCACAATACAGATAAAATTTTGTGTTTTAAAAAAGCATGTTTTCTGATAACACATTGATTTAATTTTGTTTCATTTATTACTTTAGGGACACTGAATAAACATTTTCTTAATAAGAAAAGTTATACATTCTCTTAACTGATTCAATCTTTACTGTTAGACATGAAGAAAAGTGAGTCTTGGTTTTAGTAAAAATAGCATTCTGAGGGACAGCAGTGTGCTTTGACCCACTGTCACAACAAAGCAAAACTAGTGTTGGATATTAAGGAAGGTTTGAGTCCTCTTTGAGCCTTATGGATCCAGCTGTAGTCCCAGTTTTGGGATCTTGCTGTCCTCGGTGCCGTAATATCAGGGATATATTTTTGTGTTTTATGCCCCTAGGGTCAGGAAGCACAGTCTGGTTCAGCATTCACCCACCCACCCACCCATCCATCCATCCATCCATCCATCCATCCATCCATCCATCCATCCATCCATCTATCCATCCATCCATCACACCTGCTGTGTTGCACTTACCCACACGCTGTTCTCTAGTTCTCAGTGTTCCAGCTGAGTGTGATGTTTCTGCCATGAACTGCTGCACACTGGTTGTTACTAATTTCAGTCAGCTGCCTGAGAGGCGGCTGTGCTTCTGTGTGTGTGTGAGACACTACAAAGAGACGGACAACATAAGATTTTTTTTTTTCACCTTATTTTGCAAGTAAATATGTGGTTTTGAGATAATACTCATGATGTGCAGTCTATACAGAAGGAAGTTTGTTTTACTCAGTGCTTAAAATAAGAACCTTTGTATTTGGCTACCAGAACAGTGTTTAAGGAGAGCTTGTTAGGATAGCTGTTTGATAGGATAAATATATCCTTTGTGGGAATGGCCTGTTCTTGATGACTGGTTTGTTGGAGAAAACCATTTTCAGCTTAAAAATGAAGTACCTGCCAAAGGAGTGGAGAGGGGGAGTTCATGTTTGCTCAGAGCTTGGAGCAGTTCAGTGAACACTTCCTTGGTCCTGGATCTTCGAGCAAGATCTAGGACCTTGCTTTGGTCAGAGATACTAAAGTGCCTTTAAATTCAGGCAAACAGTGGCATAGGACTGATGTAAAACTAGAAGACAGCCTGAGAACAATTGTATTTACTGTTGTGGGGGTTTCTGGTCATCTTAGTGACTTCTTCCACCCTTATCAATGATTTCTAGTTAGGCAAAAAATACCCTACTTGATGCCCTGATAAAAGGATGATTTTCCCAAAACTGCCAGACATCTACTTTTTATCAACCACTTTCAGTGAATATTACAACAACAATAACAGGAATAACAATGCAGGTACTGGCTTGCAGGTCTAATAATTGTAAATCTGCATTACTGCTATGCAGCTTCTCTCATTCCCCTCCCCCCCCATTTCTCTTTTAAATAAAAGAGCAGTGCTGTGGTGTAGCTTTTCATCCATCTTCAAATGTTGGCATATTAAAGCTCTATCAACATGGTGAAAATACTTCCTGATTCTGTTGCCTTTCTCTTTTCTAATATTCCTTCTCCATATTCCTTTAAATTATTTTGCTTTTCCTGCAGATTGCTGGTTGGAGCTCCTCGGGAAAAGGCCTTTCCAGCCCAACAAGCCAATAGAACAGGAGGGCTGTACAGCTGTGACATTGCATCTCCAAATACAAATTGCCTGCGTGTCAAATTTGATGAGGAGAGTAAGTTCTCCAGTGCTTTTGTTTTGAATTGAAACTGTTGCCTGATTCTTCTTGTTTGATGTCCTTTCCTGAGGCAGTGTGGCAGACAGTTTCTTCTAGGGGTTTATATATAACTACTTTTTGCATCATACTAAGTTGTAGCTTAATTTCTACGTTGCTACAAGATGATTAAATCTTGGTAGATTCTTACTGTTTTGTAAATTGATGTAACATGAAGTAATAGGCAGAAATTTAATAAAATGGATGCTGTTAGTGATAAAATGTACAGACACTGCCACCTGCAGACTGTCTGGTGTTCTGTATGAAGAGTCTTCCCTGACATGGGCTTCAAGAGAAAACAAACAAACAAACAAAAAAAAACGACAAAGGAAAAAGAAACCTAAACAAAAACCCAAACAAAACACAAAAAAACCCCCACACCCAAAAAACCAACCAACCAACCAAAAAACCCACAAAACCCACAAAAATCCCAGAAAAAAGAAAATGTAGTAAACTGCTAATATTTGAAGCTGTTTTATGATACTTTGCAGCTGACCCAAAGATGGAGAGTAAAGAAGACCAATGGATGGGTGTAACTGTCCAGAGTCAGGGGCCAGGAGGAAATGTAGTGGTAAGTGCTGAAGGACTAACTTACAAAAACGTCTGAGGTCTACAGTACATGTTCTGAATGGTGTGTGTTTCTGTGCAGCTTGCCAAAAGGTAACTTGCCTAAGTTTACTCCTTTGATTTCTTGTAGGTAAGGCCTTAAATGTCTCCTTAGCAAAATAAGGCATTTGAGGTTGTAAGAGCTTTAAATTATTTTTCTATGAGTTAGCCTCTCTTTATAACCTTTTTAACAATCTGGATGTTTGTTGGATGGACACTTTTTTTGGTCATATACACATTTTTTATTTTAAATACCACTAGCTGCAGAATTAGGGAAGAACAGTGTATAAGGCTGTAAACGTAGCAGGTATCACCAGCCTGTTTTCCAAGATGATAAGCCTCACTTTAGCTTTTATCAGGGACTTCCACTGACTACGTCCTGTGAATTAATGTGATTAGTGCACTACAGTAAGACTACTTGTTATTCTTAATTTTATACGATACATTAATACTCTTTATTTTATATTAAACAGAAAAAGTTTTTGGGAGTTATGAGAGAAAGAGTTTAAAAAGTAACAGTCTCAGTTAAATAAAAACCTCTCATGGTGCTGCAGGATACCAGATACATCATAAAACAGGTGTGCAGTGAAACTTCCTCATCTAATTGGAGCTTAATGTCACTGCTTCCAAACCTGGGGGAAGATGATTTCAGGATGTGAATCTGGTTATTTAAGCATTTAGAGGCAGTAATAACTAGCTTTGGTCTACCTCAGAACCCAGAGTGGGAAGGAGCACATGGAAACAGTCCTGTTCACTGAATAATCAGTCATCAACTAATGCTATCTTGTCTTTTTGTGGTAAGTGGGGAATGTACTTAATAGATGAAGTGTGAGTAGCCTGGAGGTCACTGCATCAGGACAGTACTGCAGTGCTCTAATGTGGAGCAGATGGGTGTTTGCATAACATTTAGGCCTTGATAGGAACCATAGAAAAGGTTTGTCAGCTGAGACAAACTTTGCTTGTGCTTTTCATGCAACCTGCTACATCTGAGTCTTCCAGAAACACTGCTGGCAAAGGCATTTGATAGTTGACATTTTTTTTACAATGGTTTGGTGGTTACACTGCTTAGCCAGTGGCTGTTCATCCCTTTGTGTTAAATATTTGATGAGAATTCTTTTCACAGGGGATAATCTAAAAGGATAAGGAACAGGATGTGTTTAGTGCTTCAGCTCTGCCCCAGTAACATTTACCCTGTAAGTGGAACATCCAAAAGAGGAAGTAGGAGCAACTTCTCCCCTCCACTGGAAAAGCTTTCAGCCTCTGCTTAGTGGCACTTTTCTGTAAGGGGTGGGTTCTGAATAGTCTTGGGTAGATGGTAGTTGAACCATCTTCTTGTGTCCTGCGTGGGTGTGTCAGTCCTTTGAGAGCTGTTGGGAAACAGCCACTTCTTTCTTTGAGAGAGAGAGGGTGGTTTTCTCCTTATTTCTTGAAAGAGATGGATTTAGTATCAGGAAAGGCCTTAGGGATTTAACCCTGTGGCCTTCCTTGACCATGACACGCTGCTCTGACTTACATCTGTAGGTGCCCAGTCTTTCCCCTGGGTTGCCTGTAGGAAACGTTGGATTCTGCACTTAGGCGTGTCTGCAGTGACTTACAGCATTGGTAGCAGGAGGGGCTGCTAGAGGAGCCCTGCCTTCTGTGGTGACCTGCGTACGACACACACAAACATCACACATTATTTCTTCTATCTTGCAGACGTGTGCACATCGCTATGAGAAAAGGCAGTATGTAAACACAGTGCAGGAGACCCGGGATATCATTGGAAGGTGCTATGTGCTGAGCCAGGACCTCACTATTAAGGATGATATGGATAATGGAGTATGGAGTTTCTGTGATGGTCGTTTAAGAGGCCATGAGAAGTTTGGTTCCTGTCAGCAAGGTGTTGCTGCTACTTTTACTAGAGACTATCATTATATTGTGTTTGGTGCCCCAGGCACTTACAACTGGAAAGGTATGACTTGGCTTCCTTCCTGCCTACCCTTCCCATTTCCTCTGAGATTGCTCTCAAAGGTTGCATCCAGGGTGTAATTTTTTTTTTTTAAGGGGAGAGGAGATAATAGGGATGTAATGATTTTACTCAGTTTTTACAAAATGCTATGCTCCTGTATCAACATTTACTGAAGTTTCTTTACATATCTTTGTATGTATTTATGAATAGATAATGGAACTTTGCACATACGTACAGCAAATTTTCCCCTTATTAGTTTAATCTTACGGTGGGACTGAGGGCTTACTTGGACACTTCCATACAGGAACAAACTGCTAAATTTGTATGAGTTACTTGACCAGCCCTTTTTTTGCATTTGAGCAAATGTTAGATAGCTGCTGAACTCTTTGTTTATTCTGCAGTATTCTCCCCTATATTCTTTGTGAAGTTTGTGGAATCCAGTAGTTTCCAAAATAAATACTGAAGGGTAGTAGGAAGATAACAGCAATACTACACATATTCATATCTAAATCCATACATGTCCATGTAAAATTTCATGGATAATCTAAGAGCCAAGCACTCTATGTCATTTAGGAGATTCTCTGAAACATAAGGGGAAAAAAACCTAAATGTTTTTTGTTAGTTTATATTCAGAAGCATCTAAATGGCTAGTTCAGTCTCTAGAAGTGATTTTTCCCATCACACTTCATTACATCAACAGCTGTAAATATTTTCCTCTTGAGAACATCTGATCCTCTAAGCATTGCATTTTTCCACCTCGTACACCTGTGCCTGGTGTATGAACCGTGCAAAATCAGTGTGTTAAGCTCTGGCACAAGGTGTACTTTAGTGAAAACTTAATCTTCCAACATATCTGTCAAGAAAATCTGACTGACCTGAAACAGCATATTGACTGCAGACACCATTTTACTTTAATTGCAGAGAAGTGCTAGTACAGTCCTAAGAGTACTCTTCTGTGTAATGGAAAAACATGTTTGTGCTTGCCAAAACCTTAATTATACCATTTGATAAAAGGGAAGCACACCTTTTTTTGAACAATAGTTTTTTTTCTTCTTAAATACTGTTTCTAAGTCTAATGCTGGTGTTTGTCATAATGAAATGTAGGTTTTTTTTTTTTTTAATTCCTGTGTACTTACCTCCTTTTTAAGAGAAGCTTTATAAGGCTAAGAAATACAGGATGAGGGTGGTTTATGACCAAACCAGTTCAATAGCTTTTTTTTTTTGAGAATTTCCTTAGTATCCCATGTTTTCCAGATCATTGTATGGCTTCTTTGTAGAGCAGCATGAACTTCTGGCACACAGAACAGAGGCAAAATGCTAACCCAGTGCACTATTCTGTATT